AGGTCAATATTACTTAAAAACTCTGCTTTAAATGTTATCAAAACAGGCAAATTTAAGCAATGAAAAGAAATTACGACATTTTTGTATATGAGATTCACGAGCATCATCGATTCGTAGTGGTTGTTAATGCTAACTACATCATTTAGTCTTATCTAATCTCTTCTAATATTTGTAAATGTTCGGTCAATTGGACCGAACAATATTACACTATGACAGTAAACTAAATCTGTGTTTGAGCCCCAATTTATGAAGATATATCTCGTAAAAAGTTTTTTTATTGGAATTATGCGTTGTTTGAAAATTGGGGAAAAAATGGATTTTCAAGTAAAATTATTTTATTGGGTAAACGTTTCGTTGAAAATGAATTTATCCTTTATTTCAGGGTTAAAAAAAAAGAGATTATTTGATACTGACCGATTATAATTTATACAAGTTAATAATCTGAATTTCTTGTGAGAAATACAACCAGCAATATTAAGTTATAAAAAGGTAAGTGAATTTTTCTTACTATTACTAATATTTTAAAGTGATTTTTTTATAGTTGAAATAAATTAGTTAGATTATTATTATTATTATTATTTAATTTTTTTTTAAGAATTGCGTTGAAACAAGGGATTAAATTTCGGGAAAATTTCACAGTTCAAGTATTAATTATGGGCCACTTCAAATTTCAGGTAATAAATAAATAATTAAAAACATTTTATTAATTAAATATATTAAGAACGTAATTATACTATTAATAGTCATAGTATGTACTTATAAATCACAACTTATTTATTAGTATTATATTATCAAATTAATTAGTTACAAATTATTTCACGATTACAAATAAAAAAAATTCATAGGTCAATCACAAATTATAAAATTAATTGGTCACAATTTATTTATCAATCACAAATTATAAATTTTATAAATTATAATTCAAATTTTTAGGTCAAAAATTATTTGTTGGTCACAATTTTAAATAATTAGTCAATACTTCAGATTCGCAGTCAATCCAGCAAACCCTACCACGACTACTAGATCCATCACTACCGCCACCAACAAAAATCATAGCCAAATCATGCCAGAGAAACACCACAAATTGGAGAAAATTTCGTATTGTTGCTGCGTGTAGAGATTTGTGATTGACAAATCGTCGTATGGCACTACGCAACTGTTGTGCCTCCGGGTATAGAGGCTCCGATGCCTCCATGGTACATATCGCCACAAGGCGAAGTGTTGTAGCGTGACCCTGCCATCACTTGCACGACCATCACCATCTACAAACCACCATCAATGACCAAAAATCTACACAAAACATCAACTAAGAAGCAGACCAAAAAGATACAACTCAAAAACAAACCTTGTGGATAACGATGTCGCCATAGCGTTCAGATCATTAGCCCCTGATCTACTGTTGTGCAATGACTGCTGCTGCGACAGATCATCATCACCTAATGTGCCACTGTGTAATGGCTGCACTTTAGTAGATCATCGTCGTTGAATAGTGCCGATGCGCGTAGGTGCCAATTGTTGCTTCAGAGTGACACTGTCGTGAGCCGACTTTTCTTCAATGATGCTTTGTGATAAAGAGAAAGAACTGAGAAGGTAGAGGAGAAAATGATCAGGGTTTGAAATGAAATCTAGTGTGGTGGGTATGTAAATTAATTCAATTTTATGATATTATTATTAATATTAAAAATTTGAATCATAACTTGATTTTTGAATAAAAAATTTTGAAATTTGATTTTTGAATTAAAAACTTAAAAAACATGTGTCGATGTAAGTTCCGCTTAAATTTAACGTCTTTTTGTTCTTTAATTTGTGTTATGCTGTTGAAATATATCAAAACACGACAATAGTTGTTTTGCTTGCAAAAAATATGAAGAAAAATCTTGTATGGAAATTGCCACCCTGAAATAATCAATGAAAAAAAAAATTTTAAACTGAAGAATGTTATTACCAATTTTTCTTATGAAATGACGCAGGAAAATATTTTTTATTTTATTTTATTTTTTTTAAAGGAAAAGGAAAAATCCTCCAACAAATTGGGCTTTAAACTTATGTGGAAGTGACACAAACAACACCAAGATGGACAGATAACTATTTTAAAGGTTTTGTTTTGATTTTATTTGTAATACCTTTTTTCGCATTTTTTGAATTGGTACAGATAACACTAAGAAGACAACAGAATTACTGTTGTGCATGAGAGTTTACGAAAAAAATTAATTTGAAGTATGCTGTCAATCGTTAACTGCTCATTTGAGTGTTATTGTTGAGAATTTTCATAAACTTATTGATTAAGTGGGGTCACTTGGTATGGTTTTTGTTTGGGATAACCACATAACTACTATTTTTATAAAAACATGCTTCACAATTAACAAAGTCCTTAAAAACTTTCATAAACCAGGTGATAATTGAAATTATTAAATATATAAAAATATAATGTTATATACACTAAATTTGGATAAAAAATTATAATCTCCTACAAATTACTAATATACCATAATTAAAGATATTTTTTATTTTCCAACCATAATCAAACGAGATTTTCTCTCTCTACAAAATGGGTTCCACAAAAACTCTCTCTCTAAACAACAGATTCACCAAAAACTCTCCAAACATCATGAAAATTTCACTGACATTCTCTGCAATCGATCAATAACGTCGATATACTGCTAATTTGCATTTAATTGGAGAAAATTGAAGTTGGAGTATGGAAGAATTCAATTTGCCCAAAGCAGAAATTGAAGTTTTTTTATCTGACTTCGAAGGTAAGCATATAATTACTTAGTATAGCTTATGATTTTGAAGAAACGTGTGTTTTCAAAGCTATTGAAACATTTATCCAAACATAATCAGAGATTTCACACCGTTAAGAATAAACTATATTTTGTTTAGTGTGTGACGTGTGTTTTTTCATTAACCATTGGTAGTGTGCAATTTTTGTTTTCAATTTACAGTCATGAACGTGTTGATCTATGACTGTTTATGTGATTCAATCACATTGGTGCATATTTCTGTTAACTGTGACTAGTTGTGACCACTGAATTAAATAGATTGTGACGTATATGTTAAATGTCTTGACAGTCCATAAATAGAATTAGTTTATTCTGTGATCAATGTCATTGCATTGAAAATTGATTCTCTGCAACACTAAATTTGTTGACCGTATGTGAATTTCTTTACATTAAATGACTTCTGTGACCTGTATTGACATATATGTGACTTCTTCATCTATGGCTTGTATTTATCACTGTCATTGCATCTGATCACTTCCTGATTTTAGTGAATGAAGTGTGACATGCTGTTATTTGTTTGTGATCAGGGATGACAATTTTGAACGTTTGCCTGTTATA